TCGTTACGAGCCTTTCTCATATGGAATGAAATGTTTTCACCTGAAGAGCTGCCTTTTAACTAAACAATTTCAGTCAAACCAGCTGTTCCCCATAAAGCTATGCTGTCTGAGGCAGCAAAAACCAAGATTGCTCTTGAATGTTTTCTGCTCTTAAATCGACAGAAGCCCAATCAAAGGACCTACAGCCGAGAGAACGGAATGCTGCCTTTCATGGCTCATCCAGTGGATGTATGCGCACCAAAGACTCAGATAGGACAATCATCAGAAAGGTAGGCATTCTGTCAACAACCACAAAACAGCTCTCGAAGACTCCGCGTTCCATTTACAGAGCCGTACTCCAATGAGTCTCTGAGCCAAGGGTGAACAAGCTCCATGTCAGACAGCGGCAAGGTCAGGCCCATGAGTCAGACTTAACGTGGCTCCCAGAGAACATCTCGACCTGGGGGGGGCAATTCTCACAGGTCAGTGGTCAGAAAGAACTTGGTCTGAATGTGTGCGCCAAGGAAAAATAAGCCTTGGGTTCATTCTTCCCATGGACTGGGGAGAACCAGTTATGAAAGACTTTGTGCTCTTTCCTCCCCCCTAGTGGTGGACAGTTGAACATTTGCCATATCAGGAGCGAGAGGGAGGGGGAAGGGAGGCAGAGAGGCCTGTCTGCAGATCTCCGCCATTTCGCGACTGGATTGTTTACCGCCACAATGCTGCCATCGCCGCGGTTTTCCACTCGATGGGGAACGTAGGGGCCCGGATGCCAATGCTCGCCTTTAGGGAGGCTACTTAATGAACTTGCAAATGCCAGTCAAAGATCAAAAGTACATTTTTTTTAGGATGTCGTCAAAAAGGGTGAGGTCTCTGAATTCCACATCAGAATTCAGGTTTCAAAAATTAAGACTTTCCAACAATGGAGCCTTTACATACACACCACGGGGGTAAGATTTGCTCTGATCAAGAGATGACTCATTACCTGTCCTTAAATGTAATCGATTGCTCAGTGAGTTCACGTTCTCTCTTAACACATGAGGTCAGAAGTCACAACTACCTTAACAGCTACAAAGCCAGTGGCAACATGTCACCATCACTCCTAAGATGAAACAACGATGTGGGGGAAGGAACCTTGCATTGTATTCAGCAAAAGAAAACAAAAGCTGTGTTCCTGACCGTCCCAAACAGTAGTGGCATTTTCAACTCTGAACCATACAGTTGTTTGATCACAATAGGATGAGATTATTTGAAATGGCAGGTCCCATCAAATCTAAAGTGCGCATGTTTGAAAGGCTGATGATGAATCATCTCCCTGCTCCGGGATGGTCAATGAGATTCCTTCACTGAAGATACCTATCAATCCCTGGGACTCGGGGAGACAAAAAAGACAAAGAGGGTACGGATATGATGTCACGTTTTCAACCCGGTGCATGCGCTGAGCCAAGGGCTGGGGGGAGCTTTGAAGCAAGCCACAAGCTGCTCTTCTCCCAAAACGGGATTCCCAACAGTGCAGGCTCCTATCTGCCTGTGAAACAGTTGCCTTACTGCCAACACGATGACTGCTCCTCGAGACTCAAGAATGAAGTCGCATCACATATTTCATGAAAGAGGAATCAAAAGCAGCAGCAGCAGCAGTATTTCTTAAAAAGCAACACTTTGCAGAGACCACCGCAACACAAAAGCACAGCGGCAGTGGATTCTGGTATGAAACGTAGGACAGTGCATGGCTCCCAGAAAGAATGACGCAAGGCAATGAATCTGCTCAGTCTATTCCGAAGCAACCAAGCACAAAGAACAGAGTTGGAGTGAATGCACGGTTTTTCCCAGTTGTAGCAAATTTTAGGGGCTATTTTTAAAAAATGTGATTTTTTTTTTTTTTTTTTTTTTAAATAGGGGGGAATGATGATAAAGGGCTCAGACTACTAAAAACTAAGAATGTGAAGGAAAAAGAAAACCCCAACATTGGAATCATTTACCTTTTGTTCCAGAGTGACAGCAGGCCTCGACATGGTTTTGCGAGCTCTGTGTATCATGATGGTTGTTGAAGCTGTGGTAGTGGCGGCTGTGCCATTTTTAGAGTCTATTGTCTCCAGCTCTGTTGTAGTTCCTGTAATAGGGTCGGTCCTTAGTGCACCTAAAGTCTGAGGGGACCCGGAGGCTGAGGAAGGGGGAGATTTGGTCAAGTGTACCCCTGTGGGGGTGTTTGAAGGTGGCCGGTTAGTCCTGTGGGGGGAATTTGTCATATCAGGCGTGGCTTCCGAGCTGTCCTCCTGTTGCGGCTTAATGAGAATAAATCCATTGCTCCCAGTAACAGAACCGTGTGGCGTCTCCATGTCCGACGTCCCATTTTCATTTACCAATGCTAACTCCATGCCGTGGCCTGTTGTCGAAACGCACGTCGGGCTGTTGTGCCTTGCGTCGTCACATTCGGTGCCATTAAGCATTGGTTCTGCGACGGGAGAGGAGGCCAGCCTGTCCGCTTCTGCTTTGCATTTTTCTACGGGTCACAACCAAAAGTGTATCATTAGATTGGAAAAAGAAACATGTTCAGCATTGATCATTTTGTTTAAAAAAAAAAAGTCCTTTCAACTGGCTCATTTTCCTCCATGCAAAATACTTTATAACAGCCTGGGGTTGGCTATTAATATAGTTTAGTTGTATTTGTATGTCATGAATAAATACCAATGATACCTGCGCCTCCATTGTTTGCCAGGTCCAGTCCCTCCTTATTAGATGGTTCTTCACCTTTGTAAACGTTGCCTTTGGCAAGACCAGTGGGCTAATGGAAGAAGAGAATTATCAGAGTAGCCTTCTAAATGTGTGTGGATTCAAAAAATACATTTCACTGTATACGTGAATTATCATGAATACCGGCCACTGTCGAAAAGGGGTGATTGCTGCAAAAAAGCAGCAGAGAAAAAAATGGCACGGGGTCCATATTGATGTTATCAAATGTGACATTCTATGCTTTGCTTCATCGTTACGAGCCTTTCTCATATGGAATGAAATGTTTTCACCTGAAGAGCTGCCTTTTAACTAAACAATTTCAGTCAAACCAGCTGTTCCCCATAAAGCTATGCTGTCTGAGGCAGCAAAAACCAAGATTGCTCTTGAATGTTTTCTGCTCTTAAATCGACAGAAGCCCAATCAAAGGACCTACAGCCGAGAGAACGGAATGCTGCCTTTCATGGCTCATCCAGTGGATGTATGCGCACCAAAGACTCAGATAGGACAATCATCAGAAAGGTAGGCATTCTGTCAACAACCACAAAACAGCTCTCGAAGACTCCGCGTTCCATTTACAGAGCCGTACTCCAATGAGTCTCTGAGCCAAGGGTGAACAAGCTCCATGTCAGACAGCGGCAAGGTCAGGCCCATGAGTCAGACTTAACGTGGCTCCCAGAGAACATCTCGACCTGGGGGGGGCAATTCTCACAGGTCAGTGGTCAGAAAGAACTTGGTCTGAATGTGTGCGCCAAGGAAAAATAAGCCTTGGGTTCATTCTTCCCATGGACTGGGGAGAACCAGTTATGAAAGACTTTGTGCTCTTTCCTCCCCCCTAGTGGTGGACAGTTGAACATTTGCCATATCAGGAGCGAGAGGGAGGGGGAAGGGAGGCAGAGAGGCCTGTCTGCAGATCTCCGCCATTTCGCGACTGGATTGTTTACCGCCACAATGCTGCCATCGCCGCGGTTTTCCACTCGATGGGGAACGTAGGGGCCCGGATGCCAATGCTCGCCTTTAGGGAGGCTACTTAATGAACTTGCAAATGCCAGTCAAAGATCAAAAGTACATTTTTTTTAGGATGTCGTCAAAAAGGGTGAGGTCTCTGAATTCCACATCAGAATTCAGGTTTCAAAAATTAAGACTTTCCAACAATGGAGCCTTTACATACACACCACGGGGGTAAGATTTGCTCTGATCAAGAGATGACTCATTACCTGTCCTTAAATGTAATCGATTGCTCAGTGAGTTCACGTTCTCTCTTAACACATGAGGTCAGAAGTCACAACTACCTTAACAGCTACAAAGCCAGTGGCAACATGTCACCATCACTCCTAAGATGAAACAACGATGTGGGGGAAGGAACCTTGCATTGTATTCAGCAAAAGAAAACAAAAGCTGTGTTCCTGACCGTCCCAAACAGTAGTGGCATTTTCAACTCTGAACCATACAGTTGTTTGATCACAATAGGATGAGATTATTTGAAATGGCAGGTCCCATCAAATCTAAAGTGCGCATGTTTGAAAGGCTGATGATGAATCATCTCCCTGCTCCGGGATGGTCAATGAGATTCCTTCACTGAAGATACCTATCAATCCCTGGGACTCGGGGAGACAAAAAAGACAAAGAGGGTACGGATATGATGTCACGTTTTCAACCCGGTGCATGTGCTGAGCCAAGGGCTGGGGGGAGCTTTGAAGCAAGCCACAAGCTGCTCTTCTCCCAAAACGGGATTCCCAACAGTGCAGGCTCCTATCTGCCTGTGAAACAGTTGCCTTACTGCCAACACGATGACTGCTCCTCGAGACTCGAGAATGAAGTCGCATCACATATTTCATGAAAGAGGAATCAAAAGCAGCAGCAGCAGCAGTATTTCTTAAAAAGCAACACTTTGCAGAGACCACCGCAACACAAAAGCACAGCGGCAGTGGATTCTGGTATGAAACGTAGGACAGTGCATGGCTCCCAGAAAGAATGACGCAAGGCAATGAATCTGCTCAGTCTATTCCGAAGCAACCAAGCACAAAGAACAGAATGCAACCTCGCGTGCCTTTTGCGACTCCATGAAGCATCATACCTGCTTTCTTCTCTTGGCCTCCACCGAGAAGAGGGAGCCAGGAAGAGAAGGGAGAGCACGGTTGACTGAGAGCGAGAGAGCATGCGCAAGCGGCCCCCCCCCCATACACATTCACCTCGGCATCCATGTGGCATGGTGGCTCCCTCTGTTGGTCCTCGTCTTCATACGTCCCCACAGAGAATACGCACTTGAATTCCCAACATTTCTTTGAGACCGCAAGAACCCATTGACTTCTGTCTTCGGATGAGTCACCTTAACTCACTGACGTGTATCAAAGAATCAACGGAGTCAGTCACCGTGTTTCTTCCTATCGTGAATCTGTTATGGCTACATCCAACATCATCTACGGATTTCTAGCGGGATATATCTCGTCTTGAGACACCATGGCAGCAAACACAGACGTACTTGCTCCTTCCTGGCCTGCAGGAAGTGCAATTGCTTACGGTACCTGTTCCGCACAGGATTCTGGTCTTTGAAAAAGCTATCCTGGCAGAATGCAAAGAGTATGGCTGTCTCAAGAACGAACGGAAAAAAAACCTAGGTTAAGCACCTCTTTTGTGATCCTAAACCTGTTCATCCAAAACGCAAATTGAACATGGATAGATGGCTGTATAATTTGGGGCCAGCCCAGTCAATGACGTGACGTCACATTCATTCCTACCGTGATGCCTTCCAGTAAAATTAACCAAGGGTATTGCAAATGCGCAGTTTTCGCGAATACAAGACTAGACAGATGGGAACACCAGATATTCATCAAAAGTTACAATAATGCTCTGTTTCCTCATCAATACCTCGAAATGGGCCGCCAGAGGCACCTTTTATCGGTTCAGAAGTGCTGACCCATATTCACAACCTCAATCCTAATATTTTCTCCATGAAATCAAATCATATTAATGTATTTGGTTCATAGCTTTTCTCTTGGTTGCACTGATTTCCAGAACATGAATGTGGATTTTATGTCAATCTGCACAGGGACTTCAGAATCAGTCGTGCTGGCCTATGCAATTTAAAACTGTGTGAGCATAGAGACTGTTTCTTTAACCAATCAAATTTCCCCCTCAGGGCCAACTGGCTCATGATAATGTCAGCATTTTTTTCGTCCTTTGATGAGCTGGTCAGAGCAAGTCAAGTTCGACTAGCAAACAATGTCTGGAGCATTCTGCGCACATTTAATAATCAGCATCTACAGTGTGATGTCTATTTATACTTTGGTTGTTCGATAAATATTGATTTTGAACGGCTCCGGGTGACGTGCGTGGCACAGTTGCGTGTTACTTTACTGTGCTTTTGTAAACTATTGACGGTTTCTGTAATTGTGAGGCGATAGTGGTGGTATCAGCTCGAGTACATTCTCACTGAAGGCACAGGTACCAAATGCACAGCCCGATGACGATTCAGTGAAAATAAAACAACACAAATACAAACAAAATGAAGTCTTTTGTATCATGCATGAGGTTTATAGAAAGCCAACAACTATCAATGTGTTCCAGAAGACCAAACCATGACCATCAACAGATGAAGCCTTCACCCTCCACCTTTCAAGTCAGTCGATGCAATCACAACGCATAATGAGCGACCCCCGCCCCCCCCACCCCCTCGCACCTCAAAAGGCAAAAAAATATATAAAAATACACGAACGCTTATGTGGATGACTACATTCCGTGACATCTATCTTTTGTCACGGTAGAATGACTGTATTTTGCTTTCTGTTTTGAGTTAAGTTAGCCCGGAGTGTTTAGCGAAGACAGAAAGCCACGACAATAACACGCCAAACAAAATATGTATTACACAGGAAGTATACTAAGGTACCTACAAAAAGAAGAAATAAAGTGATGCTTGTTTAATACGCGAGGAAGGACGAGGCTTATGAGACAGTGCCATGTGTTTACAGTGGAAGCTGCTCATCCTTCAATGTTGATGTAGCTAGCATAGTGGACCAACAGAGCCAAACGTTGTAGTGTATTCCTTCGGAAGCTGCTCATCCTTCAATGTTGATGTAGCTAGCAGAGTGCTGTATATGAGCCATAGACCAACAGAGCCAAACATTGTAGTGTATTCCTTCCACTATTAAAACGGACTTTCACTTAATTTTCATTTGAATGAGGCACTAACCAAGCGTCTTCAAAAACATCGCGTTGCTCGTATTTATGCACAGTCTGCTAACTAGCAAAAAGCTAAACGGCACTATGCAATTAGCCACCACTTCGCCGGTAAAATTCAACACCGCCAAATCGTGAACGGCGTTAATTTCAAAGGGCCAGAATGAATCCCGCTGTGGTTTATTTTGAAGGCTTAACGCAGACAGGGGTAAGATATTGCCTTGGACATGGACCATGTATGAGCAAGACGGTGAGCTTAGCACAAAACGCGCCCGGACACACCATTCAGGTTCCGGGGCGCGGGCGCAGCATCTTCCTACACGTTCAGCAGCCCTCCGGTAAGCACAAAAGCAAGAGAGCACAGGCTGGCAGCGGGAAATGGACACAAACAGACGCCTACATTAAGACAATTCTCCCGCTTTGCCACGTAGCCACTGCAAACGGTGGAGTCATACATTCTTGGCAAGTGGGAACGAAGCGAAAAGTGAAGCAATCTTGCAGTTAGATAAGATTCACTCACTCACCTCGGTCTCTGCCGAAGCCATGGTGCCTGGACCTAAGCTCCGCCCACGTGCGATGACGTCCCTTAAATAGATTTCCCCCCTCCAAATGATGTGATATCACACCTGAGTCGGTCTTGTCTGTCTATCGCGATATCACACCTTAGTTGGCGACCAGTTCAGGGTGTAGTCTGCTGTGAGAGGCATATCGGGGGTGGTTTCAGGACAACTGTGGGTGGGCCCAGCCAGAGAAATGGCTGTGCATTGATGCTCACCATTCCTCTCCAAAGAGGAATGGGCAAAACTGCACAAAGAGAGGTGTGCTAAACTTGTGGCATTGTATTAAAATCGATTGGAGGCTGTAATTACTGCCGAAGATGCACTCAAGATTTAACAAAAGAAATACCCTTTCAGATCGTCATCTTGGGTGGTGGTGTGTAGAATTTTGAGGGTGAAAATGAATTCATTCCCTTTTCAGATGAGGCTGTAACAACCAAATTTTGAAAAAAGTGAAACGGTATGATTACCTTCCCGATGCACTGTCTCACTCACTCTCACGTTCACGGCTATCGATTTAGTCGAGTTATTCTCAGTGAGGTACTAACTAGAACCACGAGTGGTAAGCGCCCTCCCTCTGGCGGTTAACGAAATAATCACTGCCCAAGTACAATCGAGTACTGTACAGTAGTTATATTCAACTTTTTGGTACAATACATTTGCATTTAAATTATGGTCGTGGTAATGCTGGCTGATGTTGAGTTTTAAATTCACCTAAGAAGTATGGTTTTAGAATGTGGTAGGGAGCGAGACTAGAGTACCCGGAGAACAACAACGCAATGGCGGGTGGATTATGCAAACTCCACGCAGGAAGGCCGTGCCCATGAAATGTAGAACGTGTGACGCAGAGTGGCTGGTTAATTATAGTACAGTACTGTGTGATGAATACAGGATCGAGAGACCCTGTAATACAAGAACGATCTCGACAAAACACATCAATGTTAAAATCATTGGGGGAGGTGTATTTGTCCCCCCTCCCCCCAAAAAAATAATGTCAAAATCTAAACTTGTTTTTGTTTTGTTATCATTTATCTTATTCAAACGAACTGCTGAGTCCACACTCCACAAGTCAGCAAACCCCAGTAGTTACCATTCCAAGTCAATAGGTGGCGAAAATGTACCAACTTAGTTTTCAACCGCCGTTAAACCACGAAGAAGTAAAAGAGGAAGTGCAGCCACTAAAAAAATAACAATACTGTGCAGTACAAATGCTGGCTGAGCAAAACCTGTTTAATTTATATTTATAAAATCATACATTTGTCTCATTGCTTTCCGACGCACTTTGTGGGAAAAAAAAACTCCGCGCGGAAAATTATAGGTTTGGCGCACCTCAGCCCCGTGTTTTGAGTTTGTAGTTTACAAGTTTGAGAGAACCTTAACAACGGTTGTCAGCTGACTTCAGCATGGCTCAACAAGCTGCTGCTTTGCAGACCTACAACAATGAACTCGTCAAGTGTAAGTGGTTTATTTATCGATGATGATTTTGCTAAAAAAAAAAAAAATAGCAACGGCATCTCTAATATGAGGTTCGCTCTTTTTTAGGAATGAGTCCACATTATTAAAAAGCCCAACGTGTCTAACAAACATGACTAATGTGATCAGTATACTGTACAACTCATGACTCCGTCCCGTGGACATTCTGTAAACTAAACGCGATCACGATACAGCCCAATATTTTCTAAAAGTCTGCAGCAGGCTTTTTCCATCCAAGAGCTGTATACAGAAAACCACCGAAGGGTGCCAGGGCCACTTTGACTTTTTTCATCTTTAATTATTTTTCTGCACTGAAACCAGCCAATACATTACATTTTGGGGTCTTCCAAATTTTACCCTTGGGATTCATTTAAATGCAGTATTGGTGGGAAAAATAAAGGATATCTTATCTTAATCTTATCGTATTTACCCCCTGTAGATGTAAGTTCAAGAAAGAAAATATTACATTCGAGCTTGTTTTGAGGCCGTCCAGATGCAATATTTTTTTCCCCGTTTGTCCATCGCAGGTTTTGATGACCTGTGCTCCAAGCGAGAAGAATTGAGCCTTCAGATCAAGCTGGAGGAGGAAGAAAAGGAACGACTTCAGCATGACATCCGCAACTCAATGGCGGGTGGATTATGCAAACTCCACGCAGGAAGGCCGTGCCCATGAAATGTAGAACGTGTGACGCAGAGTGGCTGGTTAATTATAGTACAGTACTGTGTGATGAATACAGGATCGAGAGACCCTGTAATACAAGAACGATCTCGACAAAACACATCAATGTTAAAATCATTGGGGGAGGTGTATTTGTCCCCCCTCCCCCCAAAAAAATAATGTCAAAATCTAAACTTGTTTTTGTTTTGTTATCATTTATCTTATTCAAACGAACTGCTGAGTCCACACTCCACAAGTCAGCAAACCCCAGTAGTTACCATTCCAAGTCAATAGGTGGCGAAAATGTACCAACTTAGTTTTCAACCGCCGTTAAACCACGAAGAAGTAAAAGAGGAAGTGCAGCCACTAAAAAAATAACAATACTGTGCAGTACAAATGCTGGCTGAGCAAAACCTGTTTAATTTATATTTATAAAATCATACATTTGTCTCATTGCTTTCCGACGCACTTTGTGGGAAAAAAAAACTCCGCGCGGAAAATTATAGGTTTGGCGCACCTCAGCCCCGTGTTTTGAGTTTGTAGTTTACAAGTTTGAGAGAACCTTAACAACGGTTGTCAGCTGACTTCAGCATGGCTCAACAAGCTGCTGCTTTGCAGACCTACAACAATGAACTCGTCAAGTGTAAGTGGTTTATTTATCGATGATGATTTTGCTAAAAAAAAAAAAAATAGCAACGGCATCTCTAATATGAGGTTCGCTCTTTTTTAGGAATGAGTCCACATTATTAAAAAGCCCAACGTGTCTAACAAACATGACTAATGTGATCAGTATACTGTACAACTCATGACTCCGTCCCGTGGACATTCTGTAAACTAAACGCGATCACGATACAGCCCAATATTTTCTAAAAGTCTGCAGCAGGCTTTTTCCATCCAAGAGCTGTATACAGAAAACCACCGAAGGGTGCCAGGGCCACTTTGACTTTTTTCATCTTTAATTATTTTTCTGCACTGAAACCAGCCAATACATTACATTTTGGGGTCTTCCAAATTTTACCCTTGGGATTCATTTAAATGCAGTATTGGTGGGAAAAATAAAGGATATCTTATCTTAATCTTATCGTATTTACCCCCTGTAGATGTAAGTTCAAGAAAGAAAATATTACATTCGAGCTTGTTTTGAGGCCGTCCAGATGCAATATTTTTTTCCCCGTTTGTCCATCGCAGGTTTTGATGACCTGTGCTCCAAGCGAGAAGAATTGAGCCTTCAGATCAAGCTGGAGGAGGAAGAAAAGGAACGACTTCAGCATGACATCCGAAGCCTCTCGGAGAAGCTGAGCAGAGTTAATGAAAGCCTGGCACAAAAAATGGCCGCACACAACACCATCGACCGCACCATCGCAGAGACTGAGGCTGCATACACCAAGGTGTTTGTCCTAATTCACGTGCCTGTCTTGAAGTTTATCTCTTGACTGTTCTTTCACACTTTGCGTTTTTTTTACTATTGAATATTTACTGTTTCCAAGTTGGAAGGAATTGTACTCACCAGAGACTCTGGTTAAAACGTGTACATTTTAAGACCCGAATTCAAGACTGTTGGCTTAAAAAAAAAACGGTAATAACTGACCCAGGTGTTGAAAAAGTTTTATATGGAAAATATTTGCGCAAGGCCTACTCTGTTGATGCTGACCTTTTCAACTGGCCTCACTATCAAGCCAACGGCGCTCTTATTAAAGAAAAACAACGCACTTCGCTGTGCAAACGCCGTCTTTGATCTGCTGATTGTTTCATGTAATTAAAAAAAAAACGGTAATAACTGACCCAGGTGTTGAAAAAGTTTTATATGGAAAATATTTGCGCAAGGCCTACTCTGTTGATGCTGACCTTTTCAACTGGCCTCACTATCAAGCCAACGGCGCTCTTATTAAAGAAAAACAACGCACTTCGCTGTGCAAACGCCGTCTTTGATCTGCTGATTGTTTCATGTAATTTCCTGCTCTCCTCATACAGATCTTGGAGAGTTCACAGTCCTTACTGAGTGTCCTGAAGCAGCAAGCGGGAAACTTCAGTAAAACCTCAGAGCCCCGGAGGAAAGAGCACTGAATTTGTAGAGGAAGTGCTTCGAGAAAGACTGCACAAGGAACTGTTTCAAGAATTTGGATTTGATTTTAAGTTTTTGCACTAATAAATGTTAAATACTGTCCTCTACAGTGTCAAAGTTGACTCAATTGCTAAAACGCACTGATGTTCCTTCTCTAAATTATTTGTTTTAAATCATCTTCCCAAATCTTTTTTCTGTTCCCATGCCAGATCCTAAAAAAATTGGTAAATATATTTCTTATTTCATTCCGTTTTTTCCTTGTTCTTAAGAACATTGACTCAAACGCTAAAATGCATGCGCTTTGCTACAATTCCCCTTTTAAAAAAATATATTTTAACTTCTGACTTCAGAAATAGTTTCCAGTCAGGAAAAACGTGATTGTGATATGGCAAAAACACACGTAGCCGGTCTGCCTTGAACAAACAAAGTGCATTGGGAGTTCCGTTGAAATTTCAATCCCATCATTTAATAACATTTAGTTTCGAGTACCATTGGGTTAGGGAGTCAAAGTAACACACAATAGCATTAATCTGAAAAGGGCTCACCCCTAAATAATACTACAAAATACGACAGCCAAACTTCAAGCTCGTCTCGACGAAAAGCATTTCAACCAGTCAGAAGTTTTGAAACACTTCTCATGCGATTGAATAGAAAAATGTCTCCAGATCTTCAACTGGCAGTGTGTCCTTCTGGAGGAATAAAACATCCAATTTTTTTTTGATGACCCCTAACGACTACGTTTCGATATTTTAAAATTGGCCTTTTGGAGTTGGTCCTTTACGTGTAAAAAGTTGAGAGAAACGGCAAATTGCGCAATGACATCATCACGCAACGGCAACGTCATTTAGCAACTTTTAGCAACAAATAGCCCGTTTTCAATGACCCGACCATCACAAACCATTCCGTATGTAGATGTTGTTCAATGAATACCTGCGTGCGGGCAGATTTTTCTTGCGCAGCTCTTTTCCGGGCAGGGATGGATCGTCGCTGATTTCCAAGATGAAACCCCACTCAGTGCACTGGCCTCACTTTGCGTACTCTTTGAAATGTGACATCAAAAAGCGGTGTGATTTACGTCACCGTAACGAAAGAGGATGCAGGACCCGCGTCCCGTTCACACGCGGTTGAAGCGACCTGAGAGAACTCCGCCATGAGCCAACAAGCTGCTGCTTTGCAGAATTACAATAACGAGCTCGTCAATTGTAAGTCCTCCTGCTCTTGATCAGCGCCCCTTGCCGCAGACAGAAGGAATTCATTCAAAATGAACGAATGCCCTTTTTTTCTCTTTTGAAAATAACATGCGTCTTTCCAGATGAGTAAAGGACAGCATCCATCCATCCATTTTCTAATCTTGGCGCTGCAAAAGACTGACAACCATCCTGATCATGTTAATCATGCGCGCTGGAAGAAGGAAACATCTAAAACATGCCAAATAGTGGCCCTCGAGGACCAGAGCTGCCCATCACTGAGTTAGGACATTGATCAACTTTTTTTTTTTGTCCCCCAGGTATCGAGGACCTCTGCTCCAAGCGGGAAGAGTTAAACCGGCAGATCAAGCTGGAGGAAGAGGAGAAGGAACGACTGCAGCATGACATCCGCGTCTTCTCCGGAAAGCTGAGTAAAGTCAATGAAAGCCTGGCACAAAGAATGGCCGCACGCGCCACTTTCGACCGCACCATTGCCGAGACCGAGGCTGCATACACTAAGGTGGGCTATTTTTTCAACGATACTGGTTTTACTCACTCAGTAGCCACTCTTCGGATCAGCACTGTAGAGCATCTCACAAGTGAGTCCACTTATCACATTTTTTGGCTCAACAAGCTGCTGCTTTGCAGACCTACAACAATGAACTCGTCAAGTGTAAGTGGTTTATTTATCGATGATGATTTTGCTAAAAAAAAAAAAAATAGCAACGGCATCTCTAATATGAGGTTCGCTCTTTTTTAGGAATGAGTCCACATTATTAAAAAGCCCAACGTGTCTAACAAACATGACTAATGTGATCAGTATACTGTACAACTCATGACTCCGTCCCGTGGACATTCTGTAAACTAAACGCGATCACGATACAGCCCAATATTTTCTAAAAGTCTGCAGCAGGCTTTTTCCATCCAAGAGCTGTATACAGAAAACCACCGAAGGGTGCCAGGGCCACTTTGACTTTTTTCATCTTTAATTATTTTTCTGCACTGAAACCAGCCAATACATTACATTTTGGGGTCTTCCAAATTTTACCCTTGGGATTCATTTAAATGCAGTATTGGTGGGAAAAATAAAGGATATCTTATCTTAATCTTATCGTATTTACCCCCTGTAGATGTAAGTTCAAGAAAGAAAATATTACATTCGAGCTTGTTTTGAGGCCGTCCAGATGCAATATTTTTTTCCCCGTTTGTCCATCGCAGGTTTTGATGACCTGTGCTCCAAGCGAGAAGAATTGAGCCTTCAGATCAAGCTGGAGGAGGAAGAAAAGGAACGACTTCAGCATGACATCCGAAGCCTCTCGGAGAAGCTGAGCAGAGTTAATGAAAGCCTGGCACAAAAAATGGCCGCACACAACACCATCGACCGCACCATCGCAGAGACTGAGGCTGCATACACCAAGGTGTTTGTCCTAATTCACGTGCCTGTCTTGAAGTTTATCTCTTGACTGTTCTTTCACACTTTGCGTTTTTTTTACTATTGAATATTTACTGTTTCCAAGTTGGAAGGAATTGTACTCACCAGAGACTCTGGTTAAAACGTGTACATTTTAAGACCCGAATTCAAGACTGTTGGCTTAAAAAAAAAACGGTAATAACTGACCCAGGTGTTGAAAAAGTTTTATATGGAAAATATTTGCGCAAGGCCTACTCTGTTGATGCTGACCTTTTCAACTGGCCTCACTATCAAGCCAACGGCGCTCTTATTAAAGAAAAACAACGCACTTCGCTGTGCAAACGCCGTCTTTGATCTGCTGATTGTTTCATGTAATTTCCTGCTCTCCTCATACAGATCTTGGAGAGTTCACAGTCCTTACTGAGTGTCCTGAAGCAGCAAGCGGGAAACTTCAGTAAAACCTCAGAGCCCCGGAGGAAAGAGCACTGAATTTGTAGAGGAAGTGCTTCGAGAAAGACTGCACAAGGAACTGTTTCAAGAATTTGGATTTGATTTTAAGTTTTTGCACTAATAAATGTTAAATACTGTCCTCTACAGTGTCAAAGTTGACTCAATTGCTAAAACGCACTGATGTTCCTTCTCTAAATTATTTGTTTTAAATCATCTTCCCAAATCTTTTTTCTGTTCCCATGCCAGATCCTAAAAAAATTGGTAAATATATTTCTTATTTCATTCCGTTTTTTCCTTGTTCTTAAGAACATTGACTCAAACGCTAAAATGCATGCGCTTTGCTACAATTCCCCTTTTAAAAAAATATATTTTAACTTCTGACTTCAGAAATAGTTTCCAGTCAGGAAAAACGTGATTGTGATATGGCAAAAACACACGTAGCCGGTCTGCCTTGAACAAACAAAGTGCATTGGGAGTTCCGTTGAAATTTCAATCCCATCATTTAATAACATTTAGTTTCGAGTACCATTGGGTTAGGGAGTCAAAGTAACACACAATAGCATTAATCTGAAAAGGGCTCACCCCTAAATAATACTACAAAATACGACAGCCAAACTTCAAGCTCGTCTCGACGAAAAGCATTTCAACCAGTCAGAAGTTTTGAAACACTTCTCATGCGATTGAATAGAAAAATGTCTCCAGATCTTCAACTGGCAGTGTGTCCTTCTGGAGGAATAAAACATCCAATTTTTTTTTGATGACCCCTAACGACTACGTTTCGATATTTTAAAATTGGCCTTTTGGAGTTGGTCCTTTACGTGTAAAAAGTTGAGAGAAACGGCAAATTGCGCAATGACATCATCACGCAACGGCAACGTCATTTAGCAACTTTTAGCAACAAATAGCCCGTTTTCAATGACCCGACCATCACAAACCATTCCGTATGTAGATGTTGTTCAATGAATACCTGCGTGCGGGCAGATTTTTCTTGCGCAGCTCTTTTCCGGGCAGGGATGGATCGTCGCTGATTTCCAAGATGAAACCCCACTCAGTGCACTGGCCTCACTTTGCGTACTCTTTGAAATGTGACATCAAAAAGCGGTGTGATTTACGTCACCGTAACGAAAGAGGATGCAGGACCCGCGTCCCGTTCACACGCGGTTGAAGCGACCTGAGAGAACTCCGCCATGAGCCAACAAGCTGCTGCTTTGCAGAATTACAATAACGAGCTCGTCAATTGTAAGTCCTCCTGCTCTTGATCAGCGCCCCTTGCCGCAGACAGAAGGAATTCATTCAAAATGAACGAATGCCCTTTTTTTCTCTTTTGAAAATAACATGCGTCTTTCCAGATGAGTAAAGGACAGCATCCATCCATCCATTTTCTAATCTTGGCGCTGCAAAAGACTGACAACCATCCTGATCATGTTAATCATGCGCGCTGGAAGAAGGAAACATCTAAAACATGCCAAATAGTGGCCCTCGAGGACCAGAGCTGCCCATCACTGAGTTAGGACATTGATCAACTTTTTTTTTTTGTCCCCCAGGTATCGAGGACCTCTGCTCCAAGCGGGAAGAGTTAAACCGGCAGATCAAGCTGGAGGAAGAGGAGAAGGAACGACTGCAGCATGACATCCGCGTCTTCTCCGGAAAGCTGAGTAAAGTCAATGAAAGCCTGGCACAAAGAATGGCCGCACGCGCCACTTTCGACCGCACCATTGCCGAGACCGAGGCTGCATACACTAAGGTGGGCTATTTTTTCAACGATACTGGTTTTACTCACTCAGTAGCCACTCTTCGGATCAGCACTGTAGAGCATCTCACAAGTGAGTCCACTTATCATTTTTTTTTTTTTGTTTTTTTGCATTTGCGTACTACCATCCATAGTCCGTACGATTTGTCAATAATAAGACCTCATCACTGACAGATGACTAGTCGGGGGTTCAGGGCCCACTGACAAGAGTTTCAAGAAGCGGGACAGTCAACCACGAGGCCATTTTGAAGGACTCTATGGACTGGTCGCTAATTCCAGAAAGTTAACTAACATGCCACTGTTTTTTTTTTTGTTTTTTTGCATTTGCGTACTACCATCCATAGTCCGTACGATTTGTCAATAATAAGACCTCATCACTGACAGATGACTAGTCGGGGGTTCAGGGCCCACTGACAAGAGTTTCAAGAAGCGGGACAGTCAACCACGAGGCCATTTTGAAGGACTCTATGGACTGGTCGCTAATTCCAGAAAGTTAACTAACATGCCACTGCCGCTTTTCTGAAAGGAGATGAATCTGTTTGAGCTACTGTATGTTTACTATGATTTGCCGCTCTTCTCCGACAGATCTTAGAGAGCTCCCAATCTCTGCTGAGCGTCCTGAAGCATGAGGCCGGAAACCTCAGTAAAGCCTCAGAACCTCGCAAGAAAGAACACTAATGCAGGGAAGGGGGATCTTAAACTCATTCACTCCCACAGACGTTTTTAAACGTCTTTTCAGACTTGGTCTAGAATTGGCTGGTACTGAATGAGTAAAAAGACTGGACTGGGGAAAAAAAATGGTCACATTTGACGACATGTATTTTTAAAGGTAACAGAACAGGCACGTTGCAATTGTTTCTTTTGTTGCTTATTTCTATTAAACGGATTGGACTTAAAAAGTTCAATCCAACTGAAATGTGACTGCAGACTTTGTGGTGGGAATAGCGCACTTTGAGAATTAAGAGGTTCTCTTTTGGTGTGATGTGGTCACCCTGACACCGATCAAAAAGTGCACGCTTGGCAAATGATCTTCCCACACAGTGTTTACATTTGTTCCAGTTTTATATTTATTTAACGTACATCTGTACAGGTATGACATCACTGAGTTTTATTTTTTCTCAAATCATCAACAATAATTTTACACACCGGAGGCAATGCAGATTTAAAAAAAAAAGGAAAACCGTGGACAAAATGGAGTGTTTTACCACCAACTGCTCATTTTGCAAGAAGGGAGTGAAAAAGCAACATTGCTGGTTTTGTGTACGCCTCACAAGTCGGATGTTTTGGCTGTCTCAGTAATCGCCGTTTTTGGAACGTTCTTGCTGGTGTTTCAAGCGCAGGTGTCAAAACTGCTGGCAACGTGACCGCTTTGGTCGTTTTGCTCAGAGACCACAAGAAACAAGTCCACCAAAAATTCAATGCGTCTTTGTTGGAAGGCGGCGCTGAGGACGGGCCGGTCCGCCTTAATGACACAATACGCGTCCTCACATTTGGGAAACGTTTATTTCCCAACACATTCTGACTCATAAGAGCACATTTGTTTGTTTTTTTTTTTACACTTTGAATGTTGAGTGCGTCGAGGTGTATACAAAACACCTGACTGGGATTTGACAATTTCATTTTGGCAATGCTCAAGCTGACACTGGACAATATTTACTTTTGCGAAAGACAATCCTGTCGAATAGCCTCGCCGGATATTAGAAAATCCGTTCGCTTGGAATGAAGATTAAAAATACATTCGGGTACGAGAAGACTCATGGTTGGTAAACCGTCACGGGTGAAGTACAGTGGAACCTCCAAAACCCAATGTCACTCAAGTTGACCGTTTGGAGTTGCACCATCACCGCACGCCAGAAGACGGGAATAGCAAGAAAATACTGTACCAGGGACGCAATGAGTTAAAGAGCACAACATTTATTGGCGCAATGCAGCTACCATCAATGGCGATGCTCGACCATGCAAAGACCTTGTTCCCTTGATTACGCGCCTGTCAAGCCTTTTCCGAAGGGTCTTTGTTTGGACCGGATTTCATCTTTCTACTGTACAGACTGATTTTTATACTTCTATGGATGAGCGCTGCTCAAATGTCAATGACAACATCGCCTGTAAAGTGAATTCACTTTCAAAGTAAACCTTTTTTTTTTTGAAGACTATTTGACTTTGGAGCTTCCACCGTGGAAGATTGGTATTTTTCCAGACTATAAATTCCAGGACCGAACACAGCCGTGGCGTCAGCACAGAGGCCGACAATCTTCAGATTTAAGAGGCAAGGCTGCGGCGAGTGTACAAAAGTGGACATTGCATCCACCGGCAGTGCATTCGGCGTTGACGCTTTCAGGACATTTTGCATTTTGACAACCCCTCC